TAGCAGTATGTGGTAGTAGCAGCAGTAGTAGTGGTAGAAATAATAGTACTACTACTACTACTACTACTACTACTACTACTACTACTACAACTACCACCACTACCACTACTACTACTAAACTACTACTAATACTACTACTACTACTACTACTACTAACTAACTACTACTACTACTACTATTAGTACTAGTAGTAGTAGTACTACTACACACTACTACTACTACTACTACTACACTACCAACTACTACTACTACTACTACAACTACTACTATTACTACTACTACTACTACTATTACTACTACTACTACTACTACTACCACTACTACTACTACTACTATACTACCACTACTGTCTACTATTACTACTACTACTACTACTACTACTACTACTACTACTACTACTACTACTACTACTACTATTACTACTACTACTACTACTACTACTACTACTACTACTACTACTAGTACTACTACTACTACTACTACTACTGCTGCTACTACCACTACTACGACTATTAATTGTAGTAATCGTGGGTATAGTGATAGCCGTACGTGTAGTAATACCACTAAGAAGAATAGTAGTGCTGGTAGTACGATCGGTGGTGGTAGCAATGCTAATAATAATAATAGTGGTAAGAGTAGTAACACAAGTAGCGTTAATGAAAATAGCCTGCCACGCGTTCGTGATGATGTTGATACCCGACATAAGAAGATGACAATTTCGATTTTGAATTTTTCCCCCGCGATAATGAAGCTCGGCCTTGCCGCCCTTCATCCACGACCAGCTATGACTTGGCCAAGGGAAAACAACTCGCAGTTGTGAGGGGGTATGATTTATTGTCTGTGGCTCGTGGTTACTGTTGGATCCCTCCGATGAAAGCAGACAACTGCTTGCCACTCGGATCCCTCAAGCTCAAGGGAATGCTCTCGGCACGCGCACCGCGAACCTCATCAAGTTCCTTCGCGCCGCCTTCCAGGTGAACGTTGTTTCCCTCTCCGGGGTAGCGAACGTTACCCGGAAGGGGGTCAGGCGATAGGGTACTGGTAACGGCGGCCGCGGCGCGCACCAGCCAATGTGCGTCCGCGCCGCCGGCGCATCAATCCCACATGTGCACCACAATCCCTGCGTACACGACAAAGCCCAATGTTTGAGTGCAACACGCCGCCGCCTGTGTACCCCGCGGTGTCTCCGTACACGACAACAGCCGCGTGCACCGCAGCACCACGTCGCCTATGTACACCGCAATGCCTGCGTAAACTGCAACAGCCGTGTGCGCAACAAGGTTTGCGTACACTTCGTTGCCTGCGTGCACCAGAGCGCTCGCGTACACCACAGCGCCTGTGTACACCACAGCAAACAAGTGCACCGCAAACGCCAAAAACTCCAACGAGCACATTAGAATCTTGCGAAGCCTCCTCGCGGGACTCGCCACAGACCGCGGATGCCTTCAGGACTCATCATTCTTCTCCTCCTCATCCACATCTTCTCCTCCCGCACCTCCTCCCCCCTGCCCTCTCCCTCTCCCCTTTCAACGGTCCTGGCGGCCTCCGCCGAGGGAGGGGAATACGGAGCGGGGGGAGGAGCAGCAGGAGGAGCAAAAGGATCAGCAACTGGAGGAGCAGCAGGAAAAACAACAGGAGGAACAGCAGGAATACGCTTGTGAACATCGAAATATACCGTTCGGCACCACGCCATGCCTGCGAGCCCGGCGCCGCGACAGGTGGGGAGCCTGCGAATATAAACACCAAAGAGTGACTTTCTGCACCACGCCATGCGTTTGAGCAGTACCGTGCATGGGGGGTCCAGGCCTCCCCGCCCACTACGATTGTTAGCGTTACCCGGGGAAGGCGGAGTCTGGCGCGGGTGACTAGCGCTATGCGGGGGAAGGATAAAAACACCAGCACTCAGTCGGCCAGGGTGGGCCAGTTCGTCAGGCTGAAAAGCTCGCCTGCTAGCTCCCAGTCGTCCTGACTCGTGTCTACTGGAATGTCCTGTGCTTCCCAATTCTCCTGCCTGGTCCGATCGAAGTGCTCCGCGAGGCTCTCCTTCGCAGGGTTCCAGTCCGGGAACCTCCTCCTGGTCTCCATCGCCTCTTCCAGGCCTATGGTCTCCGACACTGCTTCCACCTCCTCGTCCTCCTCCTCCTCCTCCTCCTCCTCCTCCTCCTCCGCCTCATTCTTCGGCGGCGGCGCCTTCCCCGCCGTCGGCATCGGCCTCGGCGGCGCACTGCGCCTCGGCGGCGAAGGCGATCTTGAAGTCACCCTCAGACCCCGCGTCGTTCCCGTCGAAACTCCGGGGCTCGCTGGTGGAGTTTGGGAGTTGGGTTTCCTCTTCATTGCGGAATACCCTGTACACTGCTGACCCGGGCTCGATTTCCGATCGAAGGTCCTCCGGCAACGGTGGCTCTGCCCTCCGATGCAGATGCAGCTTACAGTCGTCGTCCCTGAAACTCCGCAGCAACCGCACCTCGTTGTTGTAGATGTCGCTCTTGGTGCCGAGGCCGTGGGCGGCGGTGAGAAGCCATGCGAGCCTCGCCCATTCAAGGATGGCATTTGAATGCATATGGAAACCGCCGGGGATCCCAGCTCTGGTCCAGCATCATATCTTGAGAACCACCTTGCGCCCAAGGTAACTCTAGATCTGCACGGCACACGAGAACTACCTCTGCTTACCTCCCTGCATTCTGCATCGAGTCAGGAATCTACAATCAAGTGCCCACAACTTGATAGCTCAAGCAAGAAAAACAGCTGACCGAGAGAGTTGCACTGGATGGTGCCTAGTTCGAATCTGCATAAACTCTGAAATACCTCAGAAAATCCATGCCGATGAGCAACGGCGCCTCCTCGTGAACCATAGAAGGAAACCGCAAACATTGCCATTCACCAGCCCAAAAAATGATGCACGGTTCCACAACTTAGTCCTACGTTTCTTACCGAGCGTGAACTCTATGGGTGGTCCGGGAAATAAGCGCATGCGATTATCCATCGTAGAAAAAATTGTCCACGAATCCGATAGACCATGGAGGGCCCTAGAAAACTGAAAGGCAATCAAAATTATTTGCTCGTAAAAAAGCAGGCCGCAATACCATTATCTTCTGCTTCCTCAGGTACGTCTAGGGATCCGTGTACGCGTCGACGTGCTCGCTTCCTGAATCGACGGAGGCCGCGATCGGCTCGCAACTGATCTTATCCGAACCACTGTCGGTCGCAATCGTTTAGTCGTAGATATCCCCCAAACCCTTGTTGATCTCACTCGGCACGCAGCCGTTATTATCCGAATCGCTGTTGGTCGCACTCGTCAGGATGAGGATTATGGGCGCGCGTGCCTGCGACGCGTTTGAAGTTTCGCAGGTGAGTTGTCATTCTTCGCAACGCGGCCAAAACGGCCGCACCTCAGACACATCGTCTTCGGGTCGGTCTGCCAGCCGTCGCTCTTTTGGCCAGACGTCGTACTGGCGGTACTCGGCGGGCCGCGAGTAGAGCTCGCCCTGGCGCTGGACCCCTTGCCCTGCGTCGAATTCTGCTTCTCCGGACCAAAAGACGTGCGATCCGTCCTCTTTTGGCGTAGCAGCTCCCGCCTGCGCGAACGAACGCGGGCCTTGCTGCGCTGCCGCGAAAAGCGCGGCCTCGAGCAACTCTTGGCGCAGCTCCGAGTCGTCTCCAGCTTGGTCAACGATCTCATGGAGCTGCCTGCCGATGTCCTGATCGTCGGCCTCTCTCATGGCTTAGGCAGCGCCTGGAAGTAGCTCTTCTAGCCCATCATCTGGATCTTTATCCGCGCCCTGGTCGTCGCACTGCTCGCCATCGCCCTCTGCGACGTAAGTCTTCCTCTGCTGCCGCCGCGGCTTGCCTGTAGCCGCTATCGCGCTCGTGTTCCTTGTCGGACTGCATGCCGAGGGTATGCTGCATGTTGTATTTTCTGGCAGATGCCATGCCCTGAGCGGTTCCTGGACGATCGGCTTCTTCCTGTCGAGCGACCTGTCGAGTTGTTGCATGGCCTTTTGCAGATTGTCCTTTCCCACCTTGGACCAGGAAAGAGAATCTCTGGTCGAAACCTTTGGTTCGTGTGCGTCTCCTTCATGGGCCCCCTCATGTACATGCCTGCGTCCTCTACCTCCAGGATGCCGCTCTTGTCCATGAGGTGCTTAAGGAGTTGGGCCACGCCCTTCGACGACTTCGTCTCCAAATCCTCCTCGACGTCGTCGGGGGTGCCCATACTTCTAAACCCCTTGCCAAGCATTGCACTTCAGCTTACTTATGAGCCGTGGTCCACACAGACCCTTCTCCTCCTTCTGGGTGCCTCGCACGTAGAGCTTGACCTCCATCACGTAGGAGCCGAGTTCTGCGACGAGACCGCCCCATCATGGTATCGTGCCATTCTGTTCTTTTGAAATCATCGCTCGAGCCGGTCCATGAAACACAAATCGCTCTCGCTATCAACTAGTTTGCCAGCGGTGTTGGCGGCAGCCTTGCTCTGGGTCAACGTTGGCAACCCTTCTATCAGTATCACAATCACGTTTATCTTCATAAACTCCTCTCACCCATCATGTGTTCAGCAAGCCCCTTCTCGTAGAACCCTCTCAATGTGAACATGTCCCTTGCGGGCCATATCTCCTGTTGCGCTCTACGAGCGCATATACACAATGATGTGTGTGAGTGTGGTAGCTGTCTGGATGAACTCAAGGCACCCTAGAGCCAAGGTGGGCACGGACAGAGGCTCGAGGATGCACAGGGTCGGAGAGAGGCCTATGGGGGAACATGGTTATATGCGTGCAAACGCATATCTAACAATACTCAAGCAGTTACACCCCCATCCCCCGCCCCCTCCCTCCATCCCTCCCCCATCCTCCATATCCTCCTCCTCCTTTGCTCCTCTTCCTCCTCCTCCTCCACGTTCACCCACTGGGGACGACACGCGTGCAAGCCAGCGAACAGTAGCATTGCACGCTCCCCTGCGACGCAAGAGCCCCGCGGAGCGCGTAGCGGCGGGCCGCTGGCGGCGGCGCCTGCACAATAGTGCTTCCACGCTTCGTCCTTAGAGGGCCAGCCTACATCCGATCCTTACGCCCCCGCCCCACCCCCACGCACACACACACACACACACACACACACACACACACACACACACACACACACGCACACACACACACACACACACACACACACACACACACACACACTACCACCACACCAACCCTCATCCGCCAAACCCTCCTCCAAGTCCTCTTCCTCCTCCTCCTCCTCCTCCTCCTCCTCCTTATAAATACCTTTTCCCTGTCGCACCTCCAGGGCAATTTTTAGGACGAACCGGGCGTTTCGCCTGAGGATTCCTCACCATGTATGACTCTGAAACTTACAAAGTGGCCACAATCTCATAGATGGAGGGCGGGTGGTTTTCAAAATCTGGCTCTCGCTTTAGCGCCGCGCGCGTTCGTTTATATATATATATATATATACATATATATAAATGCATGGGTTTCACGGATTTAGGATAAGCCGTTTTCAAAATGTGGCTCTCGCCTTTGCGCGGCGCGCATTTATTTACAACATTTGCAAGACCTTCACGGACTGAGGATAACCCGTTTTCGAAATGTGGCTCTCGCCGTAGCGCCGCGCACCTTCGTTTTCAAATGTGTAAGAACTTCACGGATTGAGGGCGGTTCCTTTTCGAAACGTGGCTCTCCCCCTCGCTCCGCGCTCACATGTTCCTAAAATTTGTAAGACTTTCACGGGTTCCTACGATCAACGTACCAGAAATGGCGCTTCGGAAGGATTCCGGATTTTGCGGGTGCAACAGTCACGTTGATTGCGGTGTTGCACAGAATGGCGTTCGGGCACGATCCAGGATCGTCAAGACGCAACAGCGTTTGAAATCCCGAGAACAATGTGTTTGCATGCTTCCGGGTCTTCAAACGGTTGTCTTCCAACGAGGCAGATCCCTCAATGGAAATGAACCGCTGCAGGGGCCTACGTATGAAGAGGGCGCTTGAAGGGAGGGTGTATGCTAACATCGTTGATGGCTCTTGGGTTTACACTGGTCCTCCTCCTCCTTCTCCTCCTCCCTCCTCCTCCTCCTCCTCCTCTTCTTCTTCCTCATCCTACTCCTTCTTCCCCCCTCCCTCCTCCTCCTCCTCCTCCTCCTCCTCCTCCTCCTCCCTCTCCTCCTCCTCATCCTCCTCCTCCTCCTTCTCCTCCGCCTTCTCCTTCTCCTCGTCATCATCCTCCGCCTACTTCTCCGCCTCCTCCCCCTCACCCTCACCCTCCCCCTCCCCCACCCCATCCTCCTTTTATCCTCCTCAACCTCCTCCTCATCCTCCTACTCCTCTTGCACGCTGCACGCTGATGGCATGAGCCCCTCGATTAGGAGCGCTGCCGCCCCCCCCCCCCCCCCCCACACACACACACACACACACACACACACACACACACACACAGACACACACACACACACGCACTCACTTACCCACACACACACACTCACGAACACACACACACGCACACACACACACATACACACAGCGGCCGTTGCCGCTGGGGCGGGCATTGATCAAAGTAGTTAGTACGTGGAAGGACCCCCAGGGGGCGGTGTAGTTCTTTTCCCCGGCCACCTCGAGAGGGGGAGAGACGACGGAACGGCGAGGACAGAAGACTGCGACTGGCGCTTCAGGAAGGGGAGAACATGAAGGAGGAGTGGCGGCAGCGGCGCGCGGCTGGCAAGGCGGCGAGCGTTAGAATGAGCTGGGGGGTGGCTGAAGCAAGGTCAGGCAGCATGGAATGGGAATTCGGATCGGATCGGGACGTGCGCCGGATCGGGCCGCGTCGGCCAGGAGTCGAGATCGGATCGGACCTGCTGCGCCAAGATTCATAACAACGCCATGCAAGCATCGGGCCGCGTCGGACCGCCTGGAAATCTGAATCGAATCGGATAGGGCCAACCAGAACCGATATCGAATCGGCTCGATCGGATCGGATCGGATGAAAGCAAGCCCGCAAAGCAGTGTGAAGTGGCGGTGGGAGACACGGGTGGCCGAGAGCAGGCTGGGCTGCGGTGGCCCTTGAACATGTGGAAAATGTGGGTGGCTGCGTCCAATCCGACGCCCCACTCTCCCCCCCCGCCACCATTCGGAAGCCGGGCAAGGGCTGCTAAATCCGTGGCTGCTAAAATCGACCTCCAGGAAGTTGTCTTCGTCCTTCCGGGAAGAAGCCCGTTGACTCTTTCGCGTGCCGCGCCTCATTCCGGGAAGCTGTTTTTTCCTTCCGGGAGGGCCGTTTTAGCAGCCACGGTTTTGGCCTCGCCCAGCTTCCGAACCATGCGGGTGGCTACGTCCAGTCAGTCCGCCGCCCCGCCACCACCCCCCCGCCACCACGCCCGCCCCACGGCCCCCGCTCTGGTCTGGGGTCGGGAGGGTGCTGGCGGGCGGGCGGATCCGGGCGGGCGGATACGGGCGGGCTGTAGAAGCTCCGATTCTAAAGACAGGTGAAGCTGAAAGGAAGCGGGGGTGAAGAGCGAGCCTCCTCCTCCTCAACCTCCTCCTCCTACTTATATTCCTCCGCCTCCTTCTCCTCCTCCTCCTCGTCCTCATCCTGCTCCTCTTCACCATCACCATCACCATCATAAACGAAACCATGACATTATCGTCCTCATCATCAACACCATCACCAGAATGAACGGCACAATCACCACCATCAACCACATCGACCTCTTCGCAACCGTGATTGCACTCATGATCAGCATCGCCATAGTCATCGTCATCGCCATAGTCATCGTCATCGTCGTCATCGCGCTCGTTTACGGAACGCGATCCTCTTCGGCAAGCTGGATACATTCTTGCTGCACCCTCCTCCTCCTCCTCCTCCTCCTCCTCCTCCTCCTCCTCCTCCTCCTCCTCCTTCTCCTCCTGGCACGTACCCAGAGAGCGGACCGCGGGTCTATGCCTCCTCGACGCGGCGCATGGCGGCGCGGGCCTGTGGAAGCACCGCCATCGCCGCGCCTCCTCCTCCTCGTCCTCCTCCTCCTCCTCCTCCGCCTCCTCCACCGCATCCACGCGTTCGTCTTCAAGACGCGGCTTCTGCCCATGCTACCCTCCCGCCCGCGCTCGTCTTAAGGACGCGGCCCTGTCCACAACGCTGCCCTTGGGACAGTACTCGGGCGGCATCCAGGCGCACGTCTCCTGCGACCTCGGTCTTTCCGCGGGTGGGAACGCCCGCGAAGCTGGCCTGTGAACGTGGCTCGTGCGGCTTGTGAAAGCTCGGGAGACACCCACTTCCTTGAAAACCAAGACTTTGGCACCAAACAGGGATGCCGCAATGCTGCTGATACGGATCACCCGAGTGGGACTAGATGTGCATTGGTCCAATGGAGCAGGGGGAAGACGACAAGGAAGCGGACGAGGTGCAGCATGAGAGAGGAGGGAGGAGGACAGAGGAGGGAGGGAGGGTCGCATTGCGTTTGCAGGGTCACACAGGGAAGCTCTCTGCATGGGGCGAAGAACTCTTGCTGAGGACGCGTCAACCCACAGCAGGTCCTTGGGCCCTTCTGGAGGTGGCGGCTGCGATGCGGGCTCCGATGCAGCTGACCCTCATAACTGCAAGAAGATTCAGTGGGCTGCCTCCACCCTGGATGGCCCAGTGCGCCGCACGGACCGCTGGGCTAGGCACATGGGGCGGCCAGACTGGGGCGCTCGAGAGGCCCCAGAGACCTCGAGACCCCAGCAGGCGGACACGCCAGACCAACCAGGGAGGGGCGGGGGAAGCAAGCGACGACAGCAGAAAGCCCTCCTGTCGAGAGCGGCCTCTTGGGGCACCCGTGACGCCATCGGAAGCCAATCTGAGCCCCCGTAGGGCAAGCTGGAGCCCTCTGGGGATCCATGCGGGCCTTCACAGAAGCAAGCGACACCGTACCACCCCTTCCAGGCTCTTGGGCCACCAAGACAGGCGACGACCCCCTCGGGAGCGAAGGCCAGTATTTAGTATCCCGCCTCGGACCAGGGCGGAAGGAGAGCCGCCCAGAAACGACCGATCAGCCACTTAGCCCAGCGGTGGGGATAAGGATGCAGCCTGCCCAAACTCTTCCTCTCCTCAAGAACGAACCACGTTCGGGAACTACGTACTAGGAGGCGAGCTCGCGATGTCGGTCTGGCGGGACCGGCCCTCAGAGGGCAGCGCGGGGGGGAGGGGAGAAGGAGGAGGAGGAGGAGAAGGAGGAGGAGAAGAAGGAGGAGGAGGAGGGAGGAGGAGAAGGAGGAGAACCAGTGTAGACCCAAGAGTCATCAAAGATGTTGGAATAAACACTCCCTTCAAGCTCCCTCTTCACAGGCTCCTACAACTGTTCATTTCCACTGAGGGAACTGCCTCGTTAGAAGACAACCGTTTGAAAACCCTGAAGCATGCCAAAACAGTGTTCTCAGGATTCCAACGCCGCGGACGAACCTGACTCTTGCGTCTTTACGATCCTGAATTGCCAGAACGCCATTCCTGGGACTTCAACACGGCGAATCAACGTAACTGTTGCACCCTCATAATCCTGAATCTTTCCTATCTCATACGGTGGTCATGGGAACCCGTGGAAGTCTTGCTAATTTTAAACGACGAATGTGCGCGGCGCTAAAGCTAGAGCCACAATTTGAAAAGGAACCCCCTCAATCCGTGAAGCTCTTTCAATTTCTGAAGCGAATGTGCGCGGCGCTGAGGCGAGAACCACATTTTGAAAACGACCCGCCCTCCATGTGTGAAGCCCCTGCAATTTCTAAAACGAATGTACGCGGCGCTCAGGCGAGAACCACATTTTGAAAACCACCCGCCCTCAATCTGTGAAGCTCCTGCGATTTCTTAAAACGAATGTGCGCGGCGCTCAGGCGAGAGCCACATGTTGACAACGGCCCGCCCTCCATGTGTGAAGCTCTTGCAATGTTTAAAACAATTGTGCGCGGCGCTAACGCGAGAGCCACATTTTGAAAACGACTCGCCCTCCACGCGTGAAACTCTTGCAAATCCCACCTGGGCGTAGGTGGTCTAGGGCGGCTCCTCATCCAACCCCCTTCTTCCCCTTCGGGAAGGGGTTTATCACTGCTCCTTTTTAATATACCCCCCCCAGGCGACCGGGGCCAACCCGACCCCATGCCGACACCATGCCGACCCGCCCCCCACCCTGACAAAAAAACACTACAAAACGCACTCTGCCTCAACATTTGGAGCATGCGCGGCCAACCCGATGCGCCCCCCCCCCCCACTATCCCTGTCAAAAAAATGCAAAGTATACTTTGGGGCAAAGTCTTGAGTCATGTTCGTGAGGCCCGCGAGCACTTTGGATTGTTTTTGACAAGGACGGCGGGGGTGTCAGCGTATTCCCTGCTGTGTGCAGGGCTACCATCCATCCCTGACCCCAAAAACAGTTTAAGACTGTTCGCTCTCATCTGCTCGCGCGTACCTCACCACGTATATCCCAAACCCCCGATACCCGCCCTCTTCGTCTCCGATCGTACCCTCTCTGGGGGTACATCTTCCTGACCTGTCATGCGTATTAGGCGCAGCTCCTAAAAGAGCAACAGGAATGAGAAATGAGAAAGAGAGAGAGAGAGAACAAAAAAAGAGATAGCGACAGAAAGAGAGAGGGAGAAAGAGAGAAGAGAGAGAGAGAAAGAGAAAGCGAGGAGGAAAGGAGTGGGGGAAGGGGGGGAGGCAAGGGACAAGAGGGAGGAAGCAAAACTGCGGACGAGAGAAGCAGCAATGGGGCCACTAAAGGGCAGCAACGGGGCCACAAAGGGCAGCGATGGGGGGCCACTGAGGCCAGCCGCGGGGCCAAGAAGGGCAGCAATGGGGCCACTGAGGGCATTGACGGGGCCACAGAGGGCAGCGAGGGGGCCACAAGGGGCTACGCTGGGGCCACGAAGGGCAGCAACCGGGCCACTGAGGGCGCAAGCGACGGGGGGCCACGAAGGGCAGCGTCTGGGCCACTGAGGGCAGCAGCGGGGCTACAGTGGGCAGCGGGGGGGGGCAAAAGGAGCTACGCTGGGGACACGAAGGGCAGCAATGGGGCCACTGAGGGCACGAGCGAATGGGGGCCACGAAGGGCGAACATATGGGCCACAAAAGGCAACGAGGGGGCCACATTAGCCAGCTGGGGGGGGGGGCACACGGGGCTACACTGGGGCCACGAAGGGCAGCAATGGGGCCACTGAGGGCACGAGCGACTGGGGGCCACGAAATCCGTTTATATGGGCCACAAAGGGCAGCGAGGGGGCCACTGAGGGCAGCAGCGGGGCCACGAAGGACAGCAATGGGGCCACTCAGGGCACAAGCGTTTGGGGGCCACGACGGGCGTGTATATATATATATATATATATGGACCACAAATGGCCTACGCCAGGGAAGGTCAGCAATGGGGCCACTGAGGGCACGAGCGACTGGGGGCCATGAAGGGAGAAGCGGAGGTTGGGGGCCGAAATCGCAGTGGAACGGAGACCCCCAACCCGGAAATCGTTTCGTTTCGTTCGTGTCGTGCGTGCGGGCGGGGCAAAGATGCGTGGGCGCGCGAGAGGAATGAACCCGCCGGTGCTAGGGCGAAGTCCAGACAAATGATTATCCCCCGCCCGCCCGTCCGTCCGTCCAGCGGTGGCTCGCGGTGTCCCGCGGTGTCCCGTGGTGTCCCGTGGTGTCCCGTAGTGTCCGCCGTTGCTAGGGCGAAGTCAAGACAAATGATTCGCCCCCGCCCGCCCGTCCGTCCGTCCATCCAGCGGTGGCTCGCGGTGTCCCGCGGTATCCCGTGGTGTCCCGTGGTGTCCCATGGTGTCCGCCGCTGCTAGCGTGAAGTCAAGACAAATGATTATCCCCCGCCCGCCAGTCCGTCCGTCCGTCCGGCGGTGGCCGCGGTGTCCCGCGGTGTCCCGCGGTGTCCCGTGGTGTCCCGTGGTGTCCCGTTGAGTGAGATCGATAGGTGTCCCGTGGTGCCCCGTTGAGTGAGATCGATAGTGAGATCGATAGTGCGATCGATGTGGTGTCCCGAGGTGTCCCGTGGTGTCCTATGGTGTCCCGTTGAGTGGGATCGATAGTGAGGTCGGTAGTGAGACCGATAATGAGATCGAGAGGTGTCCCGCGGTGTCCCGTGGTGTCCTATGGTGTTCCGTGGTGTCCCGTTGAGTGAGATCGATAGTGAGATCGATAATGAGATCCACAAGTGTCCCGTGGTGTCCCGTGGTGCCCAGTTGAGTGAGATCGATAGTGAGATCGATTGAGTCAGACGTTGGTTCCACGCCCTCTCCCCCCCCCCACAACCTTATTATCACCCGAAGGGTGGTCGTATAGGTATGTGGGCCACGAAGGGCAGCGAGGGGGCCACTGAGGGCAGCGGGGGGGAGGCACACGGGGCTACACTGGGGCCACGAAGGGCAGCAATGGGGCCACTGAGGGCACGAGCGAGTGGGGGCCACGAAGGGCGAACAGATGGGCCACAGAGGGCAGCGAGGGGGCCACTGGGGGCAGCAGCGGGGCCACGAAGGGCAGCAATGGGGCCACTGAGGGCACAAGCGACTGTGGGCCACGAAGGGCGTATATATACACCTATACGACCACCCTTCAGGTGATAAGGAGGTTCGGGGGGAGGAAACGACGTCTCACTCGATCGCTGTCACTATCGATCGCACTATCAATCTCACGATCGGTCTCGCTCGATCGATCTCACTCGATCGATCTCACAATCGATCTCACTCGATCTATTTCATTCGATCGATCTCACAATCGATCTGACTATCGATCTCACAATCGATCTCACTATCGATCTCACAATCGATCTCACATTCGGTCCAACTATCGATCTCACTATTGACATCACAATCGATATCACAATCAAAGTCATCATCATCATCAACAGCATCGTCATCAACGTCATCAACATCATCATCATCATCACCATCAGCAGCATCATCGGGACACCATCATCATCATCATCATCATCATCATCATCATCATCATCATCATCATCATCATCATCATCTCATCATCATCACCTCATCACCATCATCATCATCATCAGCATCACCATCAGCATCATCAGCATCGGGACACATCATTGTCACCATCATCATCATCATCATCACCATCGGGACACCATCCTCATCATCATTTGAACACCACCATGATCATCATCACCATCATCAATTCATCATCATGATCATGAACAACAT